TAAAAAAAAAAAAAAAAAAAAAAAAAAAAAAAAAAAAAACTTGTGCATCATCCAGAGAGAGCTAAATCATCAAGGAGCAAAGAATTTGAATGTGTGACTATTAAATTTTATTTTATTTTTATTAGGGGTGCATAAACATGGAAATTAGCTGTTATTCTCGCATGATTTTGAATTATTCAGTAAGACAGTCATTTCTTAAAAAATCCAAAAAGAACACCTCATTGTTTGTTAGAAAAACTTAAATATCACATAGCATGAACTATGTGAAATAAATTCCTCGAAGTAGATTTAGAGCACATACATTAACATTACATTTTATCCATCTCTAGTAAGCCTAGTGCCATTTTTATCTTTATATCGGAGGTCAAGTCTATGCTCCTTTCTTATTTTAATAAGCAGATAGAAGCCGGTGCCAAATCCCTCCCTTGAGTAGATTGCCTCGAGTTGCTTGGCCTTCTGATTCCGATATCAATGGAAAACAGCAATGTGAAATAATTTTATGCAAGTCACGTCTAATGGAACTTATTCTACTAAATTATTATTCTAATCTTCTGATGGCTCTCTCCCTCAGATTCTCTGGTGATAAAAATCCTAAAAAAAACCAATAAAAAATGGGTTTTTCCATAAGAAACTAATTCAAACATAGCAAGTACAAACTACGTGCAATGATTTAGAGTCCCCATTGCCATTTCCTTCCTTATATTGTGCTTAAGATTCAATGAAGGTATATGTTTAAGAGTTCAGAAGCCTGAAGTCCTTGGAGTTAGAACCATGGTTGGATCACCCTAGCGCAAATAATTCAATACTCAAGTCTATGCTAGGGAAGTGTTTATAAACTCTTTAAATTATCAATATTTTTTGTCATTTCTTTTAGAAAAAGCTGTAAGATTTTATTAGAAAAAAGTAATGCACCAGCCGGGAATCGAACCCGGGTCTGTACCGTGGCAGGGTACTATTCTACCACTAGACCACTGGTGCTTGACGCTTCTTTAATGTGAAAATAAATAGAAGTTACAAACAGGGTATGCCACCAGTCCCCGTATACAGCCCCTTTCCGTTTCCCCTTTTTTGCCTCATTTTAATGACTTTTAGGATTGTTGCAAGGGTAGCGGCCGATTTTGTTGACTTTCTAACTCACAATGGGGCCCATTTATTGGAAAAGAAAGGTTAAAAAAGTCATTCTTGTATTCAATAATGATGAACAAACATGAACAAAATTATATGAGCCGTGGTGCGTGCACAACTCGACACACAGCACAGCTTATAGCCCCTCACATCGTTGGGGTGGCACCATTAAAAATAGCACGGACCCCACAGTACAACGAGGGGCTGTGCATGTACAACATCTTTTGATGCTGTACAAATAGCTTCTTCCAAATTATATACATATTGGTTAACTTATTGATGATGTGGAAGAAAAAGAATGAAATAAAGTCAATTAATATTAATCACATCATCAATCTGTATTTCATTATGTACCAATAATGTTACTATGAAATCCTATTATCAAGCGCCACATTTCAATAAAAGATAAAGGTCTTGTGCTAGAATATAAAAAGGAAAAATAACCTGATCCGTCTATGATTGATCCACATTTCAACATTCACATGTCAACAGTGTAGAGTCACATTCTTACAAGTAACTGCAATTTTCTGGGAAAACACTATGGCCCATAAAAACACAAAAGACATATCCTCAAGCACTAAGTATAGATCAGAAGACCTTTCCCGACAGTGATGCATTTGGTATATTACCTTGGATTCTGGATAAGGCCACGAGTTTAACACACGCCCTGTCCACATGGACCCGATTTCACCCTACACGTGTCACTTGTTCAACGGCTTCAAATCAACTCCACGTTCTTTAACTCCCCTATATAATTCAACCATCTGCACCTCAAGATTTCCATACCAAATTACTGAATCAAATTTTTTAATCCAACCTTGAGCCCTTTTTGAGAAAATGTTTCTTGAAGCAACTTCAGCTATTTCTCTGCAGGGTTCTAATCTTGGGCTCCTGCTAAATTCAGCTAGTGCCAATTCCTTTTCAACTCCATCATCTTGTAACTTGAGTTTATTGTCCCGTTCTTCCTCTTTTTCAAGTCTTGCTTTGTCAAGAAAGCGCGATAATGGATTCACGGGTTATGCCTTGTCTGAAACAAATAGTATGCCTCTTACTGGTGTGGTGTTTCAGCCATTTGAAGAGGTTAAGAAAGATGATTATATTGTCCCAATAGTTCCCCAAGTTTCACTCGCTCGCCAGAGGTTCTCAGAAGAGTCTGAGGCTGCAATTAATGAGCAGATCAAGTGAGTTCTTGACCAATTATTTTTTAAAAATAATTCTTATTTTTTGAAGGTATATTGTTAGTAAATAAGTTCATTCAATCTTTAGATGATATGATTTAATATGGCATGGAAACAAAGTTCTTGAGTTGGAGTCTCAAAGTCGCCTATTTATGAAAAAATCATGTATCAGGCCGTTTACCAAAAAATGAATTCCATTTGCTTGTTACAAGGGCATGTTAAAGATGAAATATAGTCGAAAGCAGTCACTCTTTAAAAGGTTAAGCTTTTAAACGTTGATATAAAAAAGATCAAAGTGATCATAAGAATTCACTTAGTCGATTTACTCTGTTGTTGGAATAGAGGGTTAGTAAACATACTTTCAAATACCTCCTCTGATGAAAAATTGTATCCATTAGTATGAGTTATAGTCAAGAAAGACTTGGTTTGTTGTTGTACTAGCAGATCAAGTGAGTTCTTGTTATCTAAGTTTTTTATCGATCGCTGCTAATATATTTTTCTTGTGGTTTTTCTCAGCGTGGAGTACAATGTGTCTTATGTATACCACTCCATGTATGCATACTTTGATAGGGACAATATTGCTTTGAAAGGCCTTGCCAAGTAACTACAACAATTCTCAGTGTCTTGTTTTATCCAAATAAATTCAAAAAATCTCACTTTTTTTTTTTTTTTTTTTTTTTTTTTTTTTTTTTTTTTCTTTTTTTTTTTTTTCTTTTTGCCCTTTTCCTGATTTAAATGAATATATGGTGGTCAGATTTTTCAAGGATTCAAGTGAAGAAGAAAGAGACCACGCTCAAAAGCTAATGGAATATCAGGTAACTCACGAGCATCGCAGAACAGAAAGGTTTACACCCAATCAATAGGGAGGCGAATAAATTTTGAAGCATCATAAAGTGAAAAAAGAATTAGATTTATCTCGTTTATTTTGTTTTGGATGCAAATATAATATGTTGTTCTTTTGATTTCAACAAATAATAGAATATCCGAGGAGGGAGAGTGAAGTTGCATTCTATACTAAATCCCCCTGCAGAGTTTGAACATGTAGAGAAGGGTGATGCGTTGTATGGTAAGTTTGTTACACTCTACAAACCATACAAGACAGTGTAAAAAAGCGATTTTCATCAGAAAAAAATAAATAAACAAGTAAGCTTTCCATACTGTCCTATGATTAGTTCTGATTGTTCCTGTTTTTGTCTCTTGTTTCAGCAATGGAACTAGCGTTGTCCTTGGAGAAGTTAACAAATGAGAAACTTCTGAACCTTCACAGTGTAAGCCTTCTCTGACCTCTCTATGCTGTCATTTTCCAATTCCTCGGATAAATTTACACCGTTTTCCATTTAAATTCAGTCCAAGCTCAGATAAAGGAAGGTTGCGGCAGGCTGATAATGAGCGTAGAACTTTGTCGCAGTTAATAACATGATTTTTATCCTTGACATGGCAGGTTGCTGATAGTAACAATGATCCCCAGATGACATATTTCATAGAGACTGAATTTTTGCAGGAGCAGGTAAACTTTATGCTTCTTTTCTATCTTGATTTTGTTTACAATTTGCACAACCTCCATGTATTTGTTGCACATGGTAATAGATGCGTAGCTATGAAACCAAAATGATATTCCGTAAGATATAAAGTGCAATTAACTTAATCAATGTTCGATGAAGTTCAATGTACAAAAAGCTAAGGAACAAGTATTTTTGATAAGAAATACTTGGATTTGAAGTAATCAAAAACAAATCAAAATCTTATTCTCAATATGTTTGGGATTTATTAACTGAATCTTTTTTCGTGTCATTGCTACGTCTATTGAAAGCCATAAATGAGCAAGATTGTTAACAACCATAATGGGCTATGTTAATTTTCATCATGTTCAAGTGAAATCACTTTTATGAACAAGAGCGTCTTTATATCTACACAAAACATGTCCTAACCATGCAAATTCAGCCGCACAAGTCACGTGCAATGGTAGCGTGGGCGGATCTACAGCGCTGCCCCCCCCCCCCACCCCCC